CTTCCTTCCGAGGAGTGGCTGGTGGGTTTGAACCGCCAGCCTTCTGGTTAGCAGTCAAGTGCCTTAGCCACTATGCTACCAGAGCTCCCGGACACATGATAGATACTCTATAAATTCTTGTTGATTAGTTGGAAATTCAGTAATACGCCTGAATCTCAATCTGTACACAACCCACAAGTCATAAAATAATCAAAGCTAATGGCTAGGGCATGTATCTAGGTATCCATGTAGATGCATGGGAACATACATGTATGCACAGAACATTATGCCACAGCCCACTCTGATCCCTCTAGTCTTCATTTTTACAGCCCTTAAATACTTACATTTGTACTAATAGAGAGAGACAGAATTACAGATAATCCAAAGGCCATTTATATTTGGCTTCAAATGTATTATCATATATTACTTACCTCTAATGGCTTTATCTTATTAGTACTATTCCTACCAATACTAAAAAGAATTTTCTTTGTTTTTACAATAACCTGAAAAGCAGAATAGAAGCCAGCCCAGGATTAAAAACTGATCAGAGGCAATGCAAATTGGATAACCCACTACAGGTATTCAAGAGTTAACTATATGGAAAACCACATCTGTTGGTATATGCCTTTATAAGGACTCCTGAGTTGTTCTGTTTTACCTGGGTCCTCATGTAGATCATAGATTCTTATGAGAACGGATGGCATCTATTTCCTGTCAATCCTCTGACCTCCTATCTCATAGCACCACACACTTTTCATTTAATATGTCCCCTTGACTCACCTGTGCCCGTGCAGCATCTCATGGGCACAGTTGTACATGCCAATGAGTATCCGTCGATCCTCAGTCCGTGACAGAAGCAAAATAACTGAAGTGTAAGTCACAATCAAGTCCAGGTAACTTCGAGTGAAGTCAAAGTTGAGATTCTACAAGGAAAATGCACAGGAATCCAAAAGCAGCATGGCCAGTTAATCTAGATCTTCCTCTTTCCCCAACCATTGCAAACAATGGTAAATAGATTCTGAATGGGTCTATTTAGAAGTAGAAACTGACAGAAAAATGTGTGGAAGATCAGAAGGAGAAAATTTTAACAAAAGTCATGGGCTAAACATGGAACACAATCCAAAAACACAGTAATGACCAGAATTACTGGTTGGATGGAGTCTGGGGGGACCCCCAAGACTATGGCCCTGGGATACACTTTGGGCCTGGGATAAAACTCACTCCCAAGGGCTGGCTCTCAGCCCAACAGTAATAAGACTTACATGCAGAACACTAAACCCAGGGCGATGCACCCACCTACTCTAAGGAGGTACATCCCTTGGAGCAATTGGCCATGGGGCACCAGAAGGGCAACATTCACACAGAGGAAAAGCTGGACAGACAGGACTGTATAACTAAGAAGGGCACAGGCAAGGGGGTTACTGGAAAGGGAAAGGAGGAGAGTGTGTTAGGCTTGGGGATGGTAATTGGGGAGTGAAACCAAACATACACGAAACGTTGAATGTAAAATAAATTCTGCTCTGTAAATTTGCACGTAAAACACAATTAAAAAAAAAAAAAAAAAAACACTCCAAAGGAAAACAAAAACGTCATGGGCTAAGAGAGCTCAAGAAATGAGAAGGCTAGAAAATAATGTAGAATTTGGGGGTTGGGAAGGTAAAGCAATAAGATTTCACTATAATTTTGTATTAAATAAATCACATTGCTAATTTGCTTAACATGTAAGTACATTTTAATTTCAGCACTTTTTACAAAAGAATTATAGTCATGGTAATGAATAAATGTAATAGCCATTCCTATGGCCCCACCCTGTTCCAGCCTAGACTTAGCCTTTTCTGTAGTTCTTGGGTGAAAGAATTACAAATGATCTTACAATATCAAAATGGCACTGGCAGGCATCAATGGTGTTGAGAAGTTCATATACGTGATCCTGTGGGTAGAATTGGAAGGAGAATGAATAAAGAATAAAGAGAAAGTAACATGTACTACTAGAATTTGAGGGGATAGGTTCTTTCCCTTCTTTTCCCTTCACCAAGTAGAAGAAGGGAAGTATTATTAAACACAGGGAGGAATTTCTTCCTCAGTAAGACTTCTGTGGGCTCCTATCAGGCTAACCTGTGCAGATGCCCATGCTTCCACAGACACAAGTCATAACTATATTATGCACACTCTTCTGGAACATACCATCCCCATGACTACTTTGTCAACAAAAAAGTTACAAAAATAGATCATCTGACAAGCTCTTTGGAAAATGTCAAAAATAAAACCCATTTTTATTGATGAATCCCAAAGTAAGTCTGTTCTTCAAAATCCAAAAAACTCAATAATAACCACAATTACTGGTCAGATGAAATATACATTCTGCACCTAGAATAAAACTCACCCCTGGGGGAGGGGGGCTCTCAGCCCCATAGCTAACAAGATGTACATGCAGACCACTCAACCCAGGATGAGGCACCCACATACTCTATGGTAATACATCCCTTAGAGCAATAGACCATGGGACACCAGAGGACCAACATTCAAATTGAGGAAATGCAGGACAAACAGGAGTGCATAAATATGAAGGGCACAGGGGGAGGGTTACAGGGTAGGGAGGGGAGGAGACTAGGTTAGGGTTGGACATGGCGAATAGGGAATGAAACTAAATGTATGCGTGACATTGAATGTAAAACAAGCTCTTAAAATAAAATAAAAAGAGTAAGTCTGTTCTTGGACTGCATCCCCTGTTCTGGGGAGTTAATCACATTATCAAACGGCAATACTACCCAACTATCTATGTTTCTGTTTACTGACCAACTACTGCGTGTTGAATACTTACTAGATCATTTTCATACACTTCATTTAACCTTTATTTCAGTATGATAGGCATCCTTTTTCTTTCTAACATAATTTTACATAAATAAAATCATATCAAATACACAGTTTTATTGTGTATACTTTGCTCTCCCCACATCAGCACCCACTCTCCATCTACCCCATCCCCCAGGTAAACCAGTTTAACAATCTGGTGTATCATTTCTTATTTTTCTCCCTATTTATATAATTTATTATAATCCAAAAACCGTCGAGTCGGTTCCGACTCATAGCAACCCCTCCTTGGGTTTTCGAGGCAGTATCTCTACGGAAGTAGATTGCCCAGTCTTCCTTCTGAAGAGCAGCTGGTAGGTTTGAACCACCAGCCTTCTAGTTAGCAGTCAAATACCTTAGGCACTACACCATCAAAATAGGGAGAAAGAGAGAGAGAGAGAGAGAATTTCTTTGGTCATCATTCATGTTACAAAAGGAGCTCTGGTGGCTCAGTAGTTAAATCATTTGGCTGTTAACCAAAAGATTGATGGTTCAAACCCACCAGCTGCTCCATGAGAGGAGGAGGAAGTTTACTTCTATAAAGATTTACAGCCTTGGAAACCCCATGGGGCAGTTCTACTCTGTCTTTTAGGGTCACTGTAAGTCAGAATCAACTCGATGGTGGTGTTTTTTGGTTTTTTTATGTTACAAAATTGAGATAATATTACACCCTTCTTGACATTTTGCTTTTCTCACTCAATTGTACATGCTAAAAGTCCTGGTAGATGACTTCCATTGTACATACTAAAAGTCCTTGAAGTCATCTGATAGTGCACTCTCTATAATGCCTGCAGAACAGTCCATGATCTGACCATGTTGTTGTTAGGTGCTGTTGAGCTGGTTTCAACTCATAACAATCCTATATAAAACAGAACACACTGCCCAGTCCTGCACCATCCTCACAATCACTGCCGTGCTTGCTCCCATTGTCACAGCCATCGGGTCAATGCAGCTCACTGAGGGTCTTCCCCTTTTTTGCTGACCTACTTTACCTAGCATGATATCCTTCTCCAAGGACTGATCTCTTCTGACAACAGGACAAATGTATGAGAGACCAAATCTGGCTATTCTCACTTCTAAGGAGCACTCTAGCTGTACTTCCTCCAAGACAGATTTGTTTGTTCTTCTAGCAGTCCATGGTGTAGTCAATATTCTTCACCAATATCATAATTCAAATGCATCAATTCTTCTGCAGTCTTTCTTATTCATTGTCCAGCTCCCACATGCATATGACACTATTAAAAATACCATGGTTTAGGAGCTCTGGTGGCATAGTGCCTTAGGCATCTGACTGCTAACCAGAAGGCTGGCGGTTCAAACCCACCAGCCACTCCTCAGAAGGAAGATGAGGCAATCTATTTCCATAATGATACTGCCTTGGAACCCTAAGGAGGGGTCACTATGAGTCTGATCCAACTTGACAGCAGTGAGTTGAGGTCAGATGGACTTTAGTCTTCAAAGGGACATCTTTGCTCTTAAACACTTTACAGAGGTCTTTTGCAGCTAATTTGCCCAGCACAGAACATTGTTTGATGTCTTGACTGCTGCTTCCATGGGCACTGATTGTGGATCTAAATATATAAATTCAATTCTTTCTTTGTTTAAGATACACGCACACCCATGTTCATCACAGCACTATTTACAATAGTAAAAAGATGGAAATAACCTAGGTGCCCATCAACAGAAGAATGAATAACCAAACTATGGTACATACACACAATGGAATACTACGCAGCACTGAAGAATAACGTAGAATCTACAAAATGCCACATAACATGGAAGACATTATGCTGAGTGAAATAAGTCAATTACAAAACTCAAACTCACTGTCATTGAGTCAATGCCAACTCATAGCAACCCCCTTTGGGTTTCCAAGACAGTAAATGTTTATGGAAGTAGACTGCCCAGTTCTTCCTTCTGTGGAATGGCTGGTGGGTTTGAACTGCAGTCAAATGCCTTAGGCACTATGCCACCAGAACTCCTTAAGTCAATCATGAAAGGACAAATATTGTATTAGTTCATTATTGTAAAGAGTCAAGGAAATGTTTATATATGGAAGGAAATTTTCTTTGTTGGTTACTAGGGATGGGAGGGAGGGGAGGGAACACTGAAAAAATAAAAATAAATAAATTTTTAAAAAATCTTTTCTCTGTTTATTATGATGTTGCTTGTTGTCCAGTTGTAAAGATTTTTGTTCTATGTTGAGGTATAATTGATACTGAAGGATGGATTCCATCTTCTTATTTTCATCAGTAGGTGCTTCAAGTCCTCTTCACTTTCAGCAAGCAAGGTTGAGTAACCTGCATATCACAGGTTATTAATGAATCGACCTCCATCCTGATGTCATGTTCTTCTTCATAAAGCCCACCTTCTCAGATTATTTGCTCAGCATACAGATGGAATGAGTATGCTGAAAGGCTACAAGCGTGATGCACACCTTTCCTGATTTTAAACCATGCAGTATCCCCTTCTTCTGTTTGAATGACAGCTCTTGGTCTTTGTACAAGTTCCTCATAAGCACAATGAAGTGTCCTGAAATTTCCATTCTTTGCAATGTTATCCATAATTTGTTATGATCCATGCAGTCAAATTCTTTTGCATAGTCAATAAAACACAGGTAAACATCTTTCTAGTATTCTCTGCTTTCAGCCAAGATCTATCTGACATCAGCAATAATATCTCTCATTCCACGTCCTCTTCTGAATCTGGCTTAAATTTCTGACAGTCCCCTGTCGACGTACCACTGTAACCATTTTTGAATTATCTTCAGCAAAATTTTACTTGCATGCAAAATTTTACTTTCCTGCCCTAATGAAGCCATACCAAACACCTTGGGCTCAGAACTTTACCATCACAGACATCCTAAAAATTTCTTTTGAACTCCAACTTTCCCTAGAGTAAGAGGTTTTTCAAATATGCTTCCAGTATTCTTTCCATTGCCTTCACCAGTGCCTATCTTCTTTCTAACTATAATTCTCAACTCCAAGATTAATACCCTCTGACCTGACCCTTCTTCAGACTTTTCTCTTCATTGTACCTATAATATCTAGCTTTATGTGTTCTGTTTCTTTTTACAACTTCCAGTTTTCCTAGATTCATACTTGGTATATTCACATTCAGATTATTAATGGATGTTTGCAGTTGTTTCTTCTCATTTTGAGTCATGCCACATCAGCGAATGAAGGTCCCAAAACCTTCACTCCATCCACGTCATGAAGGCCAACTCTACTCTGAGGAGGCAGCTCTTCCCTAGTCATATTTTGGGTGTCATCCAACCTGAGGGGCTCATCCTCTGACACTGCATCAGATAATGTTTCTCTGCTATTCATAAGGTTTACAGTGGCCAGTTTTTTTGGAAGTGGATCTTCCTAGTTTGTCTTATTTCTGGGAGCTCCACTAAAACTTGTCCATCATGGGTGACCCTGTTGCTATTTGAAATATCAGTAGCATAGCTTCCAGCATCATTGTAACAACAAGCTACCACAGCACGACAAACTGACAGACAAAAGGTGGATCTGACCATACCAACAATAAATTGAAAGAGGACTAGGTCAGAGACCTGGTAATAATCTTCAAATTGAGAATAGTGGTTACCACGGGCTTCAAGGAAAGGGAGATGGAGTTATTGCTTAAAGAAAACTTACTTCCGGGATCTATGTAGGAGATCCTTGATAGAGAGGGAGAACAATGTGGAACAAAACTCAAAATCATTTGGAGAAAAAAAAAAAAAAAAAAGTGGGGACCAGGTTTGCTGGTCTGATAGAGCCTGGTGGAACCACTGAGACTATGGCCCCTAGCTGCCCTTCAGGTCTGGAATTGAACCCACACCTGTGGTTTCCAGACAAACAAAATACAAGCATATGAGTTAAACATTTACCTCAAGTAGATACACTCCTTGGAGAGAACAATCATGGGAGAAAGAAGGGCTGCTTATGCACAGGGAGACAGCTCAGGGAGCAGGAGTGTATGGAGGGATGGACACGGGGAAGAGGTAACTAGGGGGAGGAAGTGGGAGGGGAGCTGTTGCATTGTGGTAAACTGTGGTCAATGACATGAAACAAAGTATATGTGAACTGCTGTATGGAAAGTGAATTTGCTCTGTAAATCTTCACCCAAATCACAATGAAAAAAAGAAAAAGAAAGAAAACTTACTTCCTGCTTGAGGTGATAAAAAACCTTTGGAAATGGATAATGTGATGGTTGCACAACATACTAAATGTAATTAATGAATTGTACATTTCAGAATGGTTAAAAGTACAAATTTTTGTTATAGATACTTACTGTAGTAAAAAATTTTAAACCCTCTCTCTCTCTCTCCTTCTCTATCTGAATGGAAAAATAAATTATGGTACTGTATATTCATATAGTTAAACAGTACTCAGAAAAAATAGGGAATGAAATGCTGATACATACAACAAGATGGGTAAATCTCAAAAATATTATGCTGAGTGAAACAAGTCAGACACAAAAATGTACATGCTGCATAGATTCCATTTATATGATTCTCCAGAAAATAAATATCTAATCTATAGTAATACAAAGCAAATCAGTGGATGCCTGGGGCCAGGAGTGGTAGTAGAGATTCACTGGAAAGAGACAAGGGGGTACTTTTGGGGTGATGGAAATCTTCTGTACCATGATTATGGTAGTGATTACACAGGTGTACACATGTCAGAATGTATTAAACTATATGCTTTAAAAGTGTGTGGAGGGGAGAATATTTCCCAAAAAGGCTATATCTAAGTTTACAGATGGGAGAACTGAGGCTAAGAGTAATTAGAAACTTGCCCAAGATCCCAGAGCTAGTAATCCAGCACCCATGGACTTCTCTATACTACATGACCTCTAGACCTCTGTCTATGTCTATCTATGTTGCCTCATTCACTAGGGGTGCCTTTCTCCAACACCTACCTATGACACAATTCCCAATATAGCTGAGGTTCACTTTCAGCCAGGTATAAACCACTGTCACTATACAGGTCTTATACTCTAAAGACAAGAATCAGAAAGGAACAGAATTAACATTTGTTGGCCAATTACTTTATTATATGCTAAACACTATGCTAGATGCCTTCCATACATAATCTCATTTAATCTTCACAAACACCCTATGTATTAAATTTTATTTCCCCATTTTATAGGTAAGGAAACTAGGATTCAAAGATTTGCCTAAAGTCACACAATTTATAAGTGGTAAAGGTGAAGTTTGAAATCAGATGTCTGATTCAAAGGCTACCTACTCTACAATACACCATACCTCAGCCTACTTCCTTTCCTGCCCTAGATAAGCCATACCAAACACCTTGGGCTCAGAACCTTACCACCAAAGCAACCATCAGATGTCCTAAAAGTCTCTTTTGGGCTCCAACTTTCCCTAGTAAGAGGCTTTTCAAGTATGCTTCCAGTATTCTTTCCATTGCCTTCACCAATGCCTACCTTCTTCTCAACCATGATTCTCAATTCCAAGATTAATGCCCCCTGACCTGACCCTTTTTCAGACATTATAGTCCTCCATGTTCCCACTTCTCTCTTCCTTGTGTGATCTGATAAATATCCTGGATTAGCTCCCTAGGTTAGGCACAGGACATCTAAAGCAGGGCCCCACACCCTTTATTCCTATAATCTGAAGAAATACTCTAACACTACCACAAATGTGAATTGCTCAGAGGTATTGAGGCCTAAATTTTATATCATCTCTGAAATATATAACTAATACATATTCATTATAGAAAAAATAAAAAATATAGGCAAGCATAATTTTAATTAGTTTTTAAAACGACTCATTACTCCACCAATCAGAAATTCCCATCTTAATATGCATGTTTATCTATGTAAATAAACTTTTTAGTGACATCTTATTTCTTAAGCTGTTATTGTAATTTGCTTTTATACTAAGCAGGATGTAAAGAATGTTTTTCTAACCCAATTAATATAAATTATCATTTTTAGTACCTATATAATATTCATTTACAGGCATATACCCTAAACTTTTAACTAAGCCTTTATTATTGGACATATCAATAACTACCAAATTGTCACTATTATAAATAATGTAACAGAATACATTCTTGTACATATATCTTTGTATTCCTTCTAAATTGTTTTCTTCAAATAAAGTTTTAGTGGAAGAATTGCTATATTAAGAACTATACATTTTTAAGACTTTTGAAATATATTATCAATTTGCCCTTCATAAACATTGTATTATATAATTTTAGTACTCAAATTTTTATAGTTACAAAAATAGTACATGTTCATCATCAGAAACTCAAAACGTACTTATGTAGCCTTCCTACCAAAAACTGTTAACAATCAGACAAATCCAAATTGAGGGATATTCTGAGAAATAACTAGTCCAAACTCTTTGAATAGGTCCTGAAAGACAAATAAAAGCTGGAGAACTATTCTAGATTAAAGACTATAACCAGGCATGACAACTAGATTCAGTGTGTGATCTTTGGGATAAGTGAAGAAATTTGAGTATGAGCTGCATGTTAGTGAATAATACTGTGGCAAAGTTACATTTCCTGAGTACAATCATTGTATTGTTGTTGTTGTTGTTATGTGCTGTCGAGTTGACCCAACTCATAGTGACCCCCTCCTTGGGTTTTCAAGGCAGTATCACTATGGAAGTAGATTGCCCAACCTTCCTTCCAAAGAGTGGCTGGTGGGTTTAAACCACCAGCCTTCTGGTTAGCAGTCAAGTGCCTTAGGCACTACACTACCAGAGCTCCTAATCATTGCATTAGAATTACATATTTTTAGAAAATGTTCTTGTTCCTAGGAGATGAACACTAAAGCATTTTGGGGGACAAATGATATCCACAACTAATTCTCAAATGGTTCATGGAGGGAAAAAATAGGGCTAGAGAAACAAATGTGGCAAAATACTAACACATAGTAAATCCAGGTGAAGAATAACTGAAATACAACAAAAATATGTTGTTGTATTTCAGTTTTCAAAAACTTTAAATATTTTTCTCCCGATATTTAATTTCAAACCTTGCAAGAGTAGTACAATGACTATTGTTCTATATAGCTTAATAAATTGAAACCAATCATAATGTAACCAAAGATAATTATTATTAACAGTTTAATGTATAATAGTCCAAATCTTTAGTATGTATGCTAATAATATATATATATATATAAGTTTATATATCATTTTAAATAAAAATATAATTATGTATTATATTATTCTATAACTTGATTTCATTTAACAATACAACTAGGTACCTTTCCATATCAGCACATTCCTTATGTTTTTCAAGTAACTGTACTAAGCAAAAGGGGTCCTGGTGGCACAGTGGCTAAAGTGCTCAGTTGTGAACCAAAAGGTCAGCAGTTCAAACCCACCAGCTGCTCCATGGGAGAAAGATGTGGCAGTCTGTGTCCATAAAAATTTAAGTCTTGGGAACCCTATGGGACAACTCTACTCTGTCCTACAGGGTTGCTATGAGTTGGAATTGAGTTGATGGCAGTGGGGGTTTGGTTTGAGTTTGGGTACTAAGCAACATAAGTGAACATCTACTAAGAAAGATATAGTCTCTGAAGGATGATGCCTATGCTGGAGATCTGGGCTAGAGAAAGCTCACCCGAAATTCCATGACATCCACAAATGACTGGTAGTAGTTGGTGAGGAATCTAATTATTTCCACTTTATCCCGATGTACTGGTCCTAAATGTTGCTTTGGAAAACAAAATAAGATAATTGATCAAGATGATCCAAGGAGAGTATGAATTACACACAAAACATTCTTAGAGAGGGTTAAAATACACTGACAGAGAAAGTTGGAAAATACTCAACTCTTTGAAAGTCTTTAAACAAAGGAGATTTTCTATCTAGCTAGTAAGGTTGCATATGATTTTGACTAGATATAGAAAACTAAATAAGAAGGGATTATAAATTCCCTTTCAGTTTACAAGGGTTGCAATTTATATTAAAGTCAAAAGAAGTAGAAGAAGAAGATGGTACAGGTAAGATGAGTGAGAAATCTAGGGCCAACATTTAATGAGAGAGAAGACATAAGTGATATCTCACTGGATGAATAATTCTGAGACCAGTAGCAAAGAAACACTGAGTGGGAAACAGGAACAACAATAAAATATATGCATTCTGGTAAGTTGACAGAGCTATCTTCCTCTACAAGAACAAAGTGCTCACATGAATCTTACAACAGAGAAAGGAGCGATGCTCCAGTTAACCCTGGAAGAATCCCACCTTATTTCTCAGAATTCTCCAAACTACAACCACCTGAAGTCCTACGTTTGAAGTTCAGAAAACTAAAAGAAGGTGACTCCATCCCATACCAAATTTGAAGATGAGCAGTCAAAAGAAAAGAGTTCAAGCTATCCAAGGATAGAGTTTTTTCAGAAAGAGAAGAGAGACTGATTACTTACCGTGCTGTTTCGGACATCTATGTTGGGAAATTTCTTGTTGATGTACTTGAGAGATGATTCCATGGACTTTTCCACTAAGAAAGGTGGCTTGGATTTGGGGTCTGAACATGTCTGAACAGATAAACCATACTATATTTCAGCTCTTTTCCCCCAGCCTCAGAAACATAATTCTTCCTACATCATTCACTCTCACAATCTCTCTTAGGAAAAAGAAATCTAGAAATTATTTATAAAATCATGAAAACAGGTCAGGAACAAGTTCCAGAATATTAAGCCAACCATCAGAAGAGCTAAGTGAAAACCTGGCATATTGTCTTGCTGGGTAAAGTTTAATGTCTGCTTGGTTCCAGCACAAAGAGGAAGTCCTTTCCCCGCCCTCAACTGAAGCCGGAAGGAGCAGCTGCTCAGAAGTTAGACTCTGTGGGCAACTCATTGTCACAACTACATGCTTTATATAAGTATCTCATCCTAAAGGACATTCACAGAAGGCATAGGAACAGAGAAACCATGTTCCTGGTGATTTGTTCTATTACAAAATATACAAAAGTTCTTCCCTCGAGTCTCCTATTTTTCTCTTTCAGGAATTCCTCATTCCTACCCCTTTATTTAAGGAGCTCTCGTGGCATAGTGGGTAAGGCATTTGGAGGCTAACTAGAAGGTCAGTGGTTCAAACCCACCAGCTGCTCTGCAGAAGGAAGATGAGGCAATGTACTTCCTTAAAGATGTATAGTCTTAGAAACCCAATTTAAATAGGGTCACTATTTATCCTTCCCGATGGAGCTCTGGTAGCATAGTGCCTAAGGCACTTGACTGCTAACCAGAAGGCTGGCGGTTCAAACCCACCAGCCACTCCTTGTAAGGAAGGTTGGGTAATCCTACTTCTGTAGTGATACTGCCTCGGAAACCCAAGGAGGGATCGCTATGAGTCGGGGCCGACTCAACGGCACATAACAACAACAACAACATGGATAACCCAGCTCCTAACACACCTCTTGCCACCAGCTTCTCCAATTTCACAGTTCCTATCTGGAGCACACACATCCAACTACAGCCTTTGTCTAGCATCACGAGCCCCTCTATGAGTATAAATTGTCCCAGACTCTAAATACCTCAGAAGGTACCTACCGTTTTTTATTTAATCTTTCTTTTTCCTTTTAGGGAAGTACCTCCATGGATGAGTTTTTGCCAGAAGACCCAACCTTAGATATCCTCAAAGTGATCACTAGTAAATTATAAAACCCAGAATTCTAGACCCCAGACCTTTATCAAGTGATTTAGAACACAATTATCTCTTACCCACGCCCCTACCGTTTTCCCCAGCTAAAAGCAGACACTCCCACTGGGGTAAGAATCATATCTAGAAAGGGGAAGCCCTGAAAAGGCTCCTCTGATGCCTGTCAGCACTGCCTGGTCAATATTATCCAAGAGTGGCCAGAGGCCAGTTAAACCAGTAGGAAAGAGGACTCTAACTGCTGGACCTGCTGGCCCCCGGGTTTCCTGCCCTACTATTGCTGGAATAATTAGTATTGGCTCAGTTGCTCATGCTTACCTTCTTGATGTTGTATATACGGATGAGAACTCCCTGACCTCGGTCATTTAGAATAGTGAGCTTCTCTGCTAATTTATGCTGGTAGGCAGAAGTCAAAGACATGATGGCCTCGAAGAAGAGAGCATCCGGACAGCAATGTCTGATCTCCCTAGACACTTTCAGCTTGGGTGGTGACACCCTCAGGGCGGAGGGACCTAGCCTGGTTGGTGCATTGGTCTTCCTGTTACTTCTGCAATTGGTTCACGGGTAAAAGCAGTCATTACAGCTCACAGGCCCTCCGAGCTTCCTTGTTCTTCCTCTCTGCATACTCAGCAGGGGAAACTTCCTCTTTCTGACTGTGCAGCATTTTTGGTAAGGAATATAAGTGGGGAAGAGAGGGCAAGCATTCAAAGCACTTCACAATCTGGCATTAACCTTTTCAACCTTGCCCCTACACTACTGTCCTAAATAAAGCATAACACCAAACAAGTACCTACCCTCACACATACCCATATACCTTTATACTTTGGTTCTTTTGTAACTTCATCAAGATTGTCCATGTTATTCTCTTTTAAATCTTCATTCCATCCATGGGGGGGGTGGCAAATCAAATCCCATCTCTTCCTAACTGCTTTGTCTAATGTCAAATATTATATGTAATGTTATATTCTTTGTTTTATTTTTAAGTATATGCCTTATCTCCAACTATAGCATAAGCTCCTTAATGACAGAATTGCATCTAATATTTTATACCCCTCACTAATACAATGATTCTCAAAGTGTGGTCCAGCAACATCAGCATCATCTGGGAACTTGGTAGATAGGCAAATTCTCAGCCCCTACCCCAAAAGTACTGAATCTAAAACTCTGGGATGGGATCCAGAAAACTATGTTTTAACAAGCCCTCCAGGTGACTCCAATGCACCCTCAAGTTTGAGAACTACTGCTTTAACACAATAATTTTCAAAGGTGATTAAGAAACTGAGATCAACCCCTATCCCCAAAATTCAAGATCAGTAGGTTTGCAGTGGCACCTAGAAGTGCTCTAGGAGGTTTGAATGCAAATGTTGAGAACATCTAGAAAATATTTTTGAGAACAAATTATCTAGAACAATTTTTTTTTTTTTTTTTTTGTAGACAGTAGCTACTCATTCAAAAAATATGCTGGTTTATTTGTTAAATTATTAAGACAAAATTAGGAAACAGGCCCCATGAAGAAGAACCAAATTAACCTAGACTAACAAGGAGATATTAGGAACTCTGGTAGCATACCGCCTAAGGCACTTGACTGCTAACCAGAAGGCTGGCAGTTCAAACCCACTAGCACCTCCTCAGAAGGAAGGTTAGGCAATCTACTTCCGCAGTGATACCTCTTTGGAAACCCAAAGAAGGGTTGTTATGAGTTGGGTCTAACTCAATAGCACATAACAACAACAACATCAAGGAGATGTTAATAACAGCCCTTAAATCTTAGAAGTCTAAGTTAATTTTATCACTAAAGTATTTTTACCATCCCTATCAGACCTTAACCCCCTAACTCAAAAAAAACTTTCAACTAATTATTTAGTTTCCTTCAAGGCCAAAAGCAGAAGATCCTAGGGAAAAAAAAAATCTAAATTAGATAACATTCATATCTACCTCCTTTCCAATACTTTTTCTCTGCTTTTCAACTATTCTCATTTTCCATATCCAGAGCTCTCACATTGTCCCAATGAATCCTGGGAGACAGTGGGAAAAGTTATTAGCTTTAGTATTTAAAGAACATGTTTGCTCCCAAGAAAACGCATTTTTTAAAGAAAAGGAAAATGACAATATTAATATGAAATTTCAAATCTCTGTCTTAGTTTCCTAGTGCTGCTATAACATAAATACCACAAGTGAGTGGCCTTAAAGAACAAAAATGTATTTTCTCAAAATTTAGGAAGTTAGAAGGCCAAATTCAGGGCACAAATAGATATAGAAGAAGTCTCTCTATCTGTCTCAGCTTCTGAAGCACAAATGGGCTTGGTGGTCTTCACATGGAAAGGTATCTATCTTCTCCCATTTGTGCTTGCTTGTCTCTGTTTCTATGCAGCTCCTTATAACTCAAAAGTGATTAGGTTTAGGACACACCCTACACTGATGTGGCCTCACTAATATAATAAAGAAAACCTTATTTTCAGATAGGATTACATCTACAGGTATAAGATTCTAACATATCTTTTGAGAGGACACAATTCAACCCATAACAATCTCTAAGGGAAATTTCGCTTTTTAAGAAAATAGAATTTGCCTCTTAATTTACTGGATTGTGTCTCTAGAAATTTCCAATGAATAGGTCATTAGCCTTGCAAAATTCTTTCTAAATCTGTAGAAAGAGATGATAGAGATTCAACATCATCAGAACAAGGCCAGAGGACAATTGCAGAACAGACCATCAACTGCTTGTATGCAGGTTCAAGATGAAGCTATAGAAAATTAAAACAAGTCCACAAGACCCAAAGTATGACTTTAAGCATATGCCATCTTAATTTAGTGCCCTGCCCTGCCCCAATTTTTTTTTAGTTTGTTTTTGTCTGTTTTAAAATTATTATTATTATTGTCCTTTTTACTATTATTCTTTATTCTTCCCTTCGCAGGTTCTAATTTTCAGCTTTTTCTCTCCTCCCTGTTCCTGGTTCCAATTTTTTTCTTTCTCATGATTAACCCCATTCCTTGTTTTTCTTTTTGTGTTTTTCCCATTTTTTTCTTCATTATTCTCCTACTTTACCTTTTTTCTCTTATTGCCCTCTCACTAGATATTGCAGGGGGTTTTTTTCCTTTTTTGGTTATTGTTCTTGTGTGATTACACACTGTGTTTTTTGTCCTCTTGTTTTTACTTTTTTGATGGTTATTCAATTGTTATTTTTGTCTAACTGAGTGGGAAACAGCAACAGTCCCCATATGACACAACTATCCCCACACCTGCTACAGCTTCTGTTACTGAGAGACACCACTTTTCTTCTCCACCAACTGGCCAATGATAAATGACCACCAAGAACAGCCTGACTGACCCTTAGCTGCTCTTCACAAACATTTAACAGAGATCTAAATACAATAATGTCACAATGTCTCAAAGACAACAGACCGTCACAGTCCACACAAAGAAACAAGATAAAGTGGTAGAAACAAGCAGGGAGCAGGATGCAGACCCAAAACGAAACGCATCACTGAGGAAGACACAGCATTGGAACTCCCTGATAAGGAATTCAAAAGAATTATATTTAGGTACCTTCAACAGATTGAGAGACAAATCAAGGAAAACACTGACAAAATGGAGAAAAACAGACAAAATCCTAGAACAATTTTGAAAGACAATACAAGAACAAAATGACAAAAGAAATGAAAAATTAGAAATGATTCAAAATCTACAGATAGAAATCCAGAAGATTAATACTAAATTGTCAGAAATAGATTAACACATTGAAAGAGTAAAAGAGTAGAATTGAATCAATGCAAGACAAAATTAATAAGATTGAAGACAAATACCTGAATACTTCTTTAGAAAGGAATCAATTGTAAAAAAGGATCAAAACAAACTGAAGAAAGCCTAAGGTTCACGTGGGATACCATCAAAAGGAGTAACTTCCATGTCATCAGAATTCCAGAACAGGAAGAGAAAAGGAAAACCACTGAGAAAATTGTCCAAGATTTGTTGGAAGAGAACTTCCCTGATATGATTAAAGACAAGAATATATCCATTCAAGAAGTCCAACGAACCCCAAACAGGATAGACCCCAAAAGAAAATCATCAAGACATATCATCAACTTCATCAAAACAAAGACAAAAAAAGAATCCTGAAAGCAGCAAAAGAAAAATGAAAAGTTACTTACAAAGGATAACCAATAAAAATAAGCTCTGATTTCTCAGCAGAAACCATGAAAGCAAGAAGGCAATGGGGTGGTATATATAAAACCCTGAAAGAGAAAAATTTCCAACCAAGAATTATATACCTGGCAAAATTGTCCCTCAAATATGATGCTGAAATTAAGTGATTTCCAAATAAACAGAAAATAAGGGAATTGGTTAAAACCAGACTAACCTTACAAGAGATACTAAAGGGAGTCCTTTGAACAGAGAACCAATAATAGTAAACAACAACCAACCATTAATACACAAGATGATATAACCAAGAAACCAACACTGCTATGGAAGTATCCAAAGTAAAATAAGCTTACAAAGATTGTAAACAGGGAACCAGAGACATCAATTGGAAAATGAGGACAACTACAAACCAAAAAGGGGGAAAATACTGTGTAGCTAAAGAACTTCTAAATGGTGAGGAAGTCGAGATTTGCAAGATAGAATGGACTATTTTAAACTCAGGGAGAAAATTATAAATCACAGAGTAACCTCAAAGAAAAACGATAAACCTTCACATCTCAATAAAAAAAAAGGACAAGCACAAATATTTAGCAAATACTAAAACAATAGCAACAAAGGAAATGATAATACGATTCATGAGCTCAGCACAGAAAATTACATGGAACAAAGAAACCAGGAACACCGTGAAAAAACACATAACAAAATGACAGCAACCAATTCATACGTGTCGATAATTACACTGAATGTTAATGGATTAAATGCACCACCCAAGAGACGGAGAGGTGCAGACTGGATAAGAAAACAAAACCCATCAATATGCTATCTACAAGAGACATACTTTAGAGACAAAGACAAAAATAGACTAAAAATCAAAGGTTGGAAAAAGATATATCAAGCAAATGGCAACCAAGAAAGAGCAGGAGTGGCCATATTAATTTCTGATCAAATTGACTTTATGACAAAAACCACCACATGAGACAAGGAAGGACATTATATAATAAAAGGGTACAACCCCTGTAGAAAGCAGTATGGCAATTCCTTAAAAACTTGGAATTAGAAATACCATTTGACCCAGCCATTCCATTACTAGGTATATATCCTAAAGAAGTGAGAGCCAGGACAAGAACAGACATATGCACACCCATGTTCATCACAGCACTATTTACAATAACCAAAAGATGGAAATAACCTAGGTGTCCATCAACTGAAGAGTGGATAACCAAACTATGGTACATACACACAATGGAATACTATGCAACTCTAAAGAATAACGTAGAAT